TCCATTTTGCCTAAATGCTGTCAAATTGCTTGCTCTCATTGCTGCCATTTTTCTTGCAGATGGTTTGTGAATATGTCACCAAATTTGGTTCTAATTGTACAGTTATGGCAGTTGCCAAATAGGGCATGCACAATGGAATATTATTTTAAAAAATGAATATTTCACTTTTTAAGTTAAATGTTGTGTATGAAAATAAGAAGTGGAGAAACACTTTTTCAAATAATAATAATAATTGTCTGTCAAACAACTATCTACCTACCTTTTTGGTTTTGCTGTGAGGGTGCATTACTGCAGATACACTGACATTTTAGTCCACATTGCCTCTGTGATGTTGGCCAAATGAAACCCACAAGCTTGAAGCCATAAAGGTCCATGTGGATTGGTTCCATATCTCCACCAACACACACTCATACAATATGCAGGACACACTTATTGACTCACAATCACAAATGCTCTTGCTGACTGTTAATCAGTTTACTGATGTGTCAGGCATGTTACCCATGTGGCCGTTCATGTGTGAGCCTCTGTCACAGGACATGAAGGTGAAAATAATATGACCAAATGTTTCAGCCATAAAGTTGCAAATGAAGTCAAACCAAAAAACACAATAAAAACCCCCTCTGTAGGTTCTTCTGTCAGACTGTTTCTCCACAGTCTGCAGCAGCTGTGTCACCAGTCTTTGTTATTTCCACTGAGAAAAACAGCAACTATCCCTGGACTTTTCTTTTCTGTACATGCTTGGTTCCTTCACAATAAAACACTACTTGGGTGAAAAATGAAATGGCATTTAAGATGCAGGTTTATTGCCAGTGCTTCACTCACCTCATCAAATCAAAAAACACATTTTCACTCCAGCTGTGAAGCACTGTCTTCACAGAGGGCGGCAGCATCTTTTTTTTCAAGTCTTTTCTGTCCTCTTTACTAATTAATGAAGGCAAACATGGCTGAGAAGGAAATGAGTCTAATGTGTGTGATTGGCCATGGCCTGAGTCGCCTGCAGCTGGTGTGTTTACTCTGCTTGAGGGCCACGTTGCCAGGACAGTACATGTGTCGAGGCCCAGCTATCTAACAGAACAGGCTGCAAACATGCTGGGACACAAACATGGTTCAAAACTAAAGAAGAGATGTAGACAGGCAAAGAGTGTCCATGTACAGTATAACATGTCCTAAAGAACATGTTATACTGTACTGTATGTTTGTGCTTTCTTGACCTGACATGGTTCTCCTCAAGGTTCAAGAGAATTAGCAATGAAAACACTGATGTTTCTCTTCATCTGTCCAAGCAAATAAAGAAAGTGTGGAACAGGTTCTGGCCATGACCTGTTCCAGTTTCACTGTTACAAAGAACTAGAGCAGGTTGTCATATACAGTATTCTTTTTAACCCTAAAACCATGCTTTTGAAACAGTGATATACTTTTATGAGGCAGATTTTTGGATGTATTTAAATACTATTCTTTGTACTGTAAAACCTCTCTGGGTATATGATACATAGCTGTTAAAATCTGTTTGGCACTTAACAAAGCATGATGAAAAACTTTCAGTTACTGTACCTACTGAAATAAACATAATAAAAAAACTTTCAGTTACTGTACCTACTGAAGTAAACATAATAAAGTACTTCTGAGAATGTATTTAATCAAAACTCTTAACAACTATATATAATGCACAGAAATATAGTTGTAGTCAACGATAGAGGGAAGGAAGAAAGAGACAGACAGGGAGCAATAAATGATTCACTGATCCCTGATAGTTATAATGCACAGAAATATAGTTGTAGTCAATGATAAAGGGAAGGAAGAAAGAGACAAACAGGGAGCAATAAATGATTTACTGATCCCTGATAGTTGCTTGCTTCCACTTTATCCAGTGATGATGAGGTTTATAAACTCAGGGAATCATGATCTACTGACAGCAATCAAATAATAGCTGCTTTCAAAATGATCACCATCTATAGCACCAGACATCTTCAGTGAAATGGAAAATTAGGTTAGGTGAAGAACTTTATTGTCCACATTGTGGAAATTTGTCTTTGACTTCACTCTACAGTTAAAAAAACTACACGTACCACACATGTGACAACACATAGCTTTACAAAATAAATAAAAAGAACAGGTAAAAAGAATGTCCATCCATGGATTAAAGGTGACAGTAATAACAAGAACAATAAAAAGAGGAGAACTGCATTTCTGAGAACTGAGGAAACTAATTATTCGACTGCACTTCTGGTCACTGTTGACATAGGGCTTCCTTTTGGTACGGTGCAATTTTAAGTGGCATTTATGGATGTAACTACGTATTGTAGCGCCTGACACAGGTGAGCCAAAGTCATCTTGAGCCCATGTGGTTATATGGCTTATAGAAAAGTGATGATTTTTGATGCAGTGTCATCTGAGGGATCGGAGAGCACGGTCATCCAGCACCTTCTGCCCTTTATGCACTGAAATCCCTCCAGATTCCTGAATCTTTTAATTATGTCATGCACTGTACAGGGCGACATATCCAAATCCCTTCCTATCATTATTTGAGGAACATTGGTTTTAAACATTTCAATAATTTTCTCACTCATATGTTGGCAAACTGACGATCCTCAGCCCATCTTTGCTTCTAGAAGGCTCGGCCTTTCCTGGATGCCACATTTGTACCAAATCATTGCAGACACCTGTTGACATCACCTGTTTCAAGTGGAATCATCATTTCTTTGTTTTACCTCATTACTGGCCCTGAAATGCAACTGTCCCAACTTTTTTGGAAAGTGTTGCAGGCATCAGAATAGAAATGAGTGTTTATTTGTAACACAAAATTACACTGATGAGGTATCCCATCAAATAATGCGCTGCTTTTCAATCGAATACAGGACACTGAAGATTTAAAAATCACTATATTCAGTTTTTATTTTGATTTTACATATTGTCCCAACTTTTTCTGATTTGGGGTTGTACGTGTTCCCCGGGGATGAGAATATTTATGATGTTCCTTCCATAATGTTTTTCTGCAGGCAGTGCGAATGACAGGGCCTTGCTGGGTGAGCCATTCTGCACGTATCCTGTTACAGGCATCACTGGGAACATACTGGCTTTATTACTGACCAAAAATTATTGACCAGTAGTCAAGCTTGTAGCACAACCACCCTGGTTACACAAGACAACATTCTGATTGCATTAGGCAGAAAAAACCTAACATATACATTCCTGGTGGCTCTTACTTATCTGTGATGCCTCCTTGAGAGAAGATTATAAGATCACTTATAATCTGGTGAGCTTTGTTTTTAAGTTGAATTAATATTTTCAGCTGGTTGCATCTGCAACTTTCAGATTATTTTACTAGTCGTATTTACTATTCTCTGCAATTTCTGTTTTTATACAGTAATTTGAAGCAATTTTATTCTAAAAATTCTAAAAATGTAAATTGTATACACATTAAATATTTCAGTAGACTTTGACGCTGACACTCGGCAGCACAAGTAACGTGAATCAACTTTTACAAGTTCTCTTTTTCCACTGATTCACAGGTCAAACGATAAGTGAAAGGAGTTTGAGTCACAAACAGTGGGCTCTATTTTTAGACCATCTGTAGGGTACTTCAGTTAACACATGAGAAAGTCAATATAAACTGGATTAGATGGCTTCCAGACACCAGTTACACCCATGCTGTTCATCAGATGTAGTCTTTTTCCCCATTGTGACGTTTGTACATTGTTGCTTGCATTCGTGACATTTCGTCTGCGATGATAAACTTTTATTTTTAGAAGGTAACGAGGATAAATCCGTTATATAGCCTATTTTCTTGATCCATAAAAATGTTATAGGATCAAAATAATACCACTGCCAGTGTAACTGCTTCTACATGTATTGTGTTAATTTGATGTTGTAGTTTTAAGATTTAGAAACTCCTACCTGTTTATTCATCTGAAGTGGATACTGTTTTCATGCATTTCTTATATTGTGTTGTTATTAAAACAAGGTTTATAAGCTGCCCTTTGCCAGTCTCAATTAAAAATGGATTCAAATCCCAATAAAACATTTTTACCTTATATAAAATAAAATATAATGTAACTTGCCTGTTACTTTCCGTGAGACTTTCAGCTGTCCTTCTGATGAGGATCATGACAAAATATTAACCTTTACAAATGAGTGACAAGTTAAAAATACCAAATATCTTATATATAAATAAAACTGGGAAATGAATAGAGGATAATACCAAAATAAAATATTTTAAAACACAAATACAACATACAGTAATACACTGTACAGACTATTACATGACCTTCGGTTAGGAATATGAAGCACTTTAAAATGCTGACACATAAAGATGAGCATGTGGGATAACATTGGCAGTAAAACAATAATGCACAAACACGCGTTTTCCCTCCTCGACATGCCTTGTGTGCTTCTGTGTACTGCTGCGCCCCCTAAAGCTCTCCTGTCCTCATCCAGCTGCTTTTTTTTTAATGGAACATCCATTTAGGTTTATTAACTAACGGTGACTGAGAAAACATTGGCAGCCTGAGTTTGCAAGCAGTATGACCGCTGCTGGAGCTGCATGCAGCTCTACAGCGACCACAAAACAAACTAATAAATCAACAAAAGCCTAAAGTTAAAGGCTGTCCGGGTGCATGCGCCTATAAGTTAATGTTAGATGCACGTATGGTTTTGTCTAAATGTTAAAGTTTTTTTTATTTAATATAATGCACACACTACACGTGAGTATACTATTGCAATGTATCACCCGTTTGTTTTGGGATTTTAAAAACGGTAAATGATAATTTTGTAAGCAGTTAATGATACGTATATATGTATTAAACGATTGAACATTATATCTTAAATACACTCCCCAGTCTTTCTCGGTTTGTGTTGATGAGCAATGGACATGGCTGACGCACAAAAACAGAGTAACATTTGGGTCTTGCTCGAGATGTCCAAGCTGGAGCATGACGCATGACGCAAAGGAGGCGCGGCAAACATGTCCCATATATTGCCAGCCGCTGTCTGGATTCAGAGAGAGAGAGAGAACGAGGTCATACCTTTGCCTTCACTGGAGAGACTTAAAGCAATCTTTTGCCACAGCACCATCGACCGCCGGGTGCATCTGCTGCAAGTATGATTAAGAAAATGCCATCATCCGAAAACGAGTTCGACATACCGGCCAAGAATTGCCACAGGATGGTGATTCTGGGATCCACTAAAGTTGGGAAGACTGCCATCATTTCTCGGTTTCTGAACGAGAGATTTGACGACCAGTACACACCTACTATTGAGGACTTTCACAGGAAATTCTACAGCATCAGGGGAGATGTTTACCAACTGGACATTTTGGACACATCTGGAAATCATCCCTTCCCTGCCATGAGGAGGCTTTCAATACTTACTGGTGAGTAAAGCTTTTAAAGCCCGTTCAAACCTGTCACACTGTTTTCTGCAGAGGTCACTATTGCATTGTTGTTATTATCTAGTATTGACCGTGTGCTTTCTTATGTTTTGCAGGTGATGTGTTCATCTTGGTGTTTAGCCTGGATAACAGAGACTCTTTCCAGGAGGTGCAGCGCCTGAAGCGCCAGATTTATGAGACCAAGTCTTGTCTGCGAAATAAAACCAAAGAGAACGTGGACGTCCCGCTGGTCATCTGCGGCAACAAGTGCGACAGAGACTTTTATCGTCAGGTGCAGGAGGACGAGATCGAGCAGCTCGTTGGTGGAGATGAGCAATGCGCTTACTTTGAAATCTCGGCAAAGAAGAACACCAACGTAGACCAGATGTTTCAGACTCTCTTCACTATGGCCAAGTTACCCAAGGAAATGAGCCCCGACCGTCACTGCAAAGTTTCTTTGCAGTGTCGCGAGGTTCTCCACAGAAAGTCCTTCAGAAACAAGAAGTGCAAGGATGGGAACGCATACGGGATTGTGGCGCCCTTTGCACGGAGACCCAGCGTGCACAGTGACTTGATGTACATAAGAGAGAAAGCTGCGGGGGGCAGCCAGGCCAAAGAGAGAGGCTGCATCATATGCTGAGATTTATTTATATATATTATATTATTATTTTTTCGCCAGAGTGCAAAGAGACTGTGAGCCTTTCCAGCCGTCCTGCATACAGGGCTCATGAGCTCATAAGCGGCAGACTTCAGCACCTGAGGTGACAGTGACACTGTGATCCAAACTGGGCAGAGACACAAGCAAGTGGCTTAACTGTTAGGGCCATCTCTGTAGCGATGCAGTAGATACTCTGAAAACGCTGTAAAACATGCCTCTGCATTAGTTTGCAAAGAGAAAAATAGTTTACATTTTGCTATTTTTTCCACACTTGATGGAATTTGAATGTTTGCTGCATTATGAACAAATCTGATGATGAATGTGTATTTATTATGCAAATGTCAACTTTTCCGTAAAAAAGAAAATAAAACAACTTTTTAGATTTATATGTTGTCTTCCTCTTCTCTCTCCTTTCATGGAGGTTACATGAAACACTGCACAGCCTGCACAGTACAAGTCTCTGAACATTTCATTCAGTGTGAAAAATGTCAGTATTAAAACATTTAATATCTGTCACTCCTTACATAAACAACTGACATACTTGAGAGACAACCCAAGCAAACACTGTTTAAAGCACTTTCACTCAGTTTGATCTTTTAACCATTTTAGCCCTGTGTCACCAGCTGTTAAATGAGGATATAGAAATAGAATTATTGGATTCTTAACAACCCTAAATCCCCTTTCCGTGTATCCATGTCTACAAACACGATGAACAGTGACTGCAAATACTCATACATACGTAATTAAAGATGAAGGCTATGGGTTTAAATGTGTAGGATACAAGTTGCATACAGTCATTGCATTAAGCCAATTCGTTCTTAATCAGTTCCCTTTATTGCAACACAATAGCCTGTTACACGATATAAAAGCGACACACAAATAAACACCTAATAAAATACCACATAGCCAGGTTTTTAATGATACTAACACAAAAACGACAAAACATGATGTTCCAAAACATCTTTTACTGCGATGAAACGTAACGTTAGTCCTTGTTCGGTTGGAGATTAATCCCGTATTTCTGAATCTCGGGTTCCTCTGCTCCACTGGTTAGAATGTAAACAACAAGTCCCTCCTGGACCTCGACTGCCTCTCTGTCTTTCTTTGGTCTGTCTTCATTGTCATTATGCTTTCGGAGCGTCAAACATGCACAGACTTTTGTATTTCTGTAGCAACTGGTTCTTGGTACGGACCTGCTCCCGGAGCGTGGCCAGCTGCTGCTGCTGAGCCAGCGGACTACTATCTATCCCAGGCATGTTGGAGATCTGCTCCCGAGCCTCCTGGATCTTTGTCTTCAGTTTGGGCAGTTCTTGATGGATATCCTGGCTGTCCTTGTCCATGCTTAAAAAAATAATACTAAAGTCAAAGGTGAAGAAGATCACAAGCTATTATTTTGGACATTTAATGCTACACTTTCAAGTAATTGTAGCTGCCATAACAACGTTAGCTTAGCTAACACATTAGCAAGCTTAGCAACTCCACCAAAACGACTGCTTAAGACAAGTAAAACATATGATGTCAAATATAAATATCTCACCATTTAATAATATCATGAACTAAAGGTAGCAAAGAGTAATCCTCGCCGCCTTTCTCTAGCTTCGCTTGAGCTACGGCCATCATAGTTTCCTCTTTCAGGCGCAGGTTGTTTACGTCATATAACACACAATGACGCCAACACGCATGAGACGTAGCCTACATAAATAGTTAATATAGTATAAATACAGAATAAATAAAAATAATTGTTTTTGATTCGAAGACTAATCATTTCCAAAATATCATATGTGTGATTACTTAATCTGTAAAGCAGCATCTACCAGAAATTCGTCTCCCAGGGTAGGTTATAATGAAAATGTCTAGATGTCATTATCTCGGGGCATTAAGGCATTATCTCACTTTATAGATTTTGTTGACATCTGAGTGCATCCCTATGTTTTTTATAAAATTATGATTTAGAGTTTTATTGTCTTTAAAAAACACAAGAGTGCATAGGAGGGTTGCTGGTATGTGGTAGTTGCTGATATTTTATGGCCTTTTAATGGATTAGTTTTTCTTTCTCAATCTTCTAGTCCTTTTATACCTTTAATGAATTTAGTGAAAAATGGTTACCAGAATATTCTGTTTGCATTATCCATCTCATACAAAATCCACTTAATGTGAAAACAATGGCAAGCAGGATTAAAATCAGTAAAAAAAAAAAAGCTAAAGGTGCAGTGGTTTGGTTTGGGAGGCAGACAGGCAGACACCCTCTCTACCTCTAAGATTAGTCTTAAAACTTTCCTTTATGAGCTTAGAGTTAAGTTGGTATTTAGGTGGCATGGTGGTAAAGTGGTTAGTGTTGTCAGTTCATAGCAAGAAGCTTCTGGGTTTGAGCCCCAGATGACTATGTGTCTTTCTGTGCGGAGTTTGTATGTTCTCCCAGAGATGTATGTTACTGATGAGCTGTACCAGCCCCACTAACTTCCCTGGTTTTTGCTTGTTTGTGTCCTGATGTTTTTCATATGGCTACCCATCAAGAGCCTGGTTCTGTCAGAGGCTTCGTCCATTAAAGAAAGTTCTTCCTTCTCACTGTTGCCAAGTGCTTGCTCAAGGGGTATTTGTTCAGTTTTTCTCTACCTTAAAGTCTTGACCTTACTATGTACATATAAAGTGTCTTAGGATGGTTTTATTTTGAGATTTACTGCTATAAAACACATTTAATTGAAATTTGAATAGAATTGTTTAAATTCTGGTTCCTAACAAATTCCTAAGTATGAACTTAAGGAATGAAACACAAGCCTCTTCCTGTAAAACATATCATGCTTAAAGTAAACTAATGCTTAATGACTAAAAAGGAAATTTTACATAACTGCTGGTCTTGGGTGACTTCAGGACACTTCTAGTGTAATCTCCCCATAGCACTCCCCAGGGGCTGGCCATGCTCCATCCAGCCTATGCGTGATGACGTGAAAGGGTCAAGCAGATGTCTCACCTCACAGCTTCTCTGGCAGATTGCTGGAAGAATGCAAATGTCCATCCGGATGTTCTGTGGTCTAATCTTAGCATGCTTCTCTATAAGAAAGATAATCTAGCACCATCAGCCATTGGTGCTGTTCATCATTAAATTTGAAATTTAAGAAAAGACTAACTTTTCTTAATTCAATATTGAGTTTATTAAATATATTAAACACTGAGGATTAAGGATAGTTACTGTCAGATTGCCAGTACAAAACAAAAGCTTTATTTGATGTGGAATTTTTCCCATCATGTGACGTCTGAGACAGTAGAAATTACTCAGAAAGAATTTTTAATCAGCCATATTTATCAGTACCAAAGAAAAAGTAGTCATTTCATTTTATTCCAAAGTCAATTTACTATAATTTAGCTGCAGAAATTTTATGTCTGCTTGCTCAATTTTTTTGTCCAGGAAGTGACCTCTCAGTCAAAACTGAACATCTGTATGTGCATCATTCTTCTCAGAACTGTCTGTGCTACTAGATTATCACCACAACTAGCTCCTATTCATCTGTGTCTGTTCAGGTATTCACATTTCATAGAAAGCTGGGGTTCAGTTCCATGGATCCTTGATGATTTCGTGGTTCTCTCAGCCTCTTTGGTGCATTAATTCAAACTATACTGTTCAAAGCTTGTATAACTCCTTTGCAGTAATTAGACAGTTAAAAACTGTCAGCAAATGTGTGTGTGTTCTTGTGCATGCTATATTGTGAGGATCAAAAAATTACTTTTTACTACAGAGTGAGGACATTTTTGCCTGTCCTCACCTTCTGAAACACCTTTATGAGGGTTAAGACATGGTTTTAGGTTTCAGATTAGAATTAGGTTTGGTTAGGTATAAGGGTAATGGTTAGGTGTTAGGCATTTAGTTTAGTAAGCTCTGGTTCTGTGAAAAAGTGACATTTATCACTGTAATTAATAGTATTGATGTTATGTACATTTCATCTTATGGTTTCACTTAATTCCACCTGGACAAGTCAGAAATAATTCATAAATAAATTTGACTAAATTTTCCTGAACACCACAGTGTTGATTAATACACAACTAACTCCATCAAAATAAACAATGAAATGTGAACATGCTATTCTGAGATATCCACCAATATGCTGAGAGCCTTTCCCTAAAACCTCCAACTGTCAAAGACAAGAGGAGCTTTTTTCCTCAATTCAGTCCATGATGACTTTGATGAGACAGAGGCTGACTGAAGTTTAACACAGACCTGCTGCATCTCTGCCATGCATGGAACAGTGAAAGTGACCATTACTGATTAAAAAGCATAGTCTCAAAGGTCACAATAAAGTGTGTTATTGGCAATCATATAGATGCATCGTGTTTTTCTGTACTCATTGTCTAATTGCATAGTGTTAGTTGTTTCATTTTTTGTGCAGAGAGATGCGAGAGATATTAGACTAAACGTGATAGTAAAAAAGCAGTGAGTGAGGAAGTTGAAGAACTGTACAAACATTTCCCAAGTTTTAAATACTGGAAAATTTCCTCCTGATGGCTCAAAATATAAACTGTTCAGATAACTAAACCTATACTGCCCCCAAGTGCCAAGGTGAGACTGTAACATTAAATTTATTCTACAAACATCCATCCATCTGTAATCTATACCACTTATTCCTGAACAGGGTCATGAGGGAGCTGGAGCCAATCCCAGCTGACAGTGGGCAAGAGGCGGAGTACACTCTGGACAGGTCACTGGTCTATCAAAAAAAAACAAAAAAACAGGTCTACCTTTTGTTCACAGTAACAGGGTTATCAGCATGGATTTGTGACAAATAGGGGTATTCTTAAGAAGAAACTGAAGACTAAACTTGAGTCCTTTATAACTACTTCCACACATTTCCTGCTACCAACCAAAGACAAGTAGACAAAAAAACATATATAGCATATTGCATTAAAGGCCATTGCCTTGTGCCCAATTATAGTTGTGTTCACAAGTTGCTCACTCTAGTGTGACCATTATGTTTAATCACACATACCCTATATACTTTTTAATATTCTGACCTGTGCCAGGGGATTCTTAACACCAAGGGTCTTGGCTTTATGCTCCCTAATGTCAGGGAAGCTTCCATGGGCTCTGGTCTGGCTTGCTTTTAATCCATCCACGTTTCATGTAACCATGTTGACTTGAAGTAGTTTTGTTTATGTTGGTGAATACACATATACATCTTATAACCACTAGGTGGTAGGCTTTAATTGATGATACTAAAAAGGCCAAACTTTTACTAATAATACTTCAACCTGGTACCAGAATTTTTTGTTGATGTTGAAATTTGAATATTTCGATTATTTTATAGGCTACTTGTCACACACGCAACTAAATTGCAATCATAAACAGATTCTTGTCTCTGCGCAAAGAAAATTATTAATTACTTGCATCCGTTAGACAGATGAATAACATTTTTACACAACAGCAATCAACAATGAATGACATAAGGTGGGAGATAAAGCAGCTGGGTTCCTATGGGCAACACGCCTATTTCAGAAAAAGCATGCCCAGCTTTGCACCATTCAGAACAACGTTGTAAATTTTTGGGTCGCTTCTTTATGCCAGACTCTCCTGGATGGGAGGTGCTTTTTTCAAAGCAACGTCATCGTGGCATCCCGTGGTTTAAATCCAAAATTCAACCATACGGAACGCACCAGGTACAAAAGCAAGCGCATCCAACGTGCTCCAATTGCTACGTATGACGTATAACGTCTTTCTACTGGCAAATCATGGTGTACGCTGGGCGGGCATTGTAAAGCTGTAGTTGAGTGTTAGCAGGCTAACTAGAGAAAGAAAGCTAACTAATCGTGAGAGTGGATGTGTAGCTGACGTTAAAGGAAAAGGCAAATGTCAAAACAGCAAGGGGAACAGAACATTTAGTGAAGTGATAATTCTGTTAGATGATTACATGAACAGATCTATAGCCTGTTCATCAAATACCGTGTTTGTCAGATGTCCGAGGAGCATTTTGGATACTACATCGATTGTCCCGTTTCCAAACGGAAACCATTTCTGGACAGACAGTTCGTGTTTGCTAGCTAGCTAAGTGAATTATCCAGGAGACTTTTCATTGTCACCTAAAAACACAGACTGAATGTTTTGTCTGTCATGAGTCCGGCCGGGTGCTCCCATGTGAACGGTTATAAGGTGGATAATTGGAAACAAAATCTTCGAGTCATATACCAATGCTTTGTTTGGAGTGGTACTGCTGAGACCAGGAGACGCAAGGTAAAAACACAGGAACTGTAACGTTAGTTTCAGAAACAAGAGTGAACTAATTTAAATGTGGCACAGACAGACACGGAACTGGAGTGCAAGTGATGTCTCACATGAAGCACAATCACTGAACAGGTTGAACAAAATTCTGGTCTTTCAGAAACTGTTCTCTTGCTGTAGTAATGTTGCTAGTTGTAGAGCTAGCCGGTAAGTTAGCTTGCAAGGACTGCTGAGAGTGGTTGCTTGTTTGCTATTTTCACTGCAACACTTAACTCATCGTTATAAGTTCAAACAATTATTATTCATTTGTTTTGGTGCGAGTCAGTCCGCCGGGTTAGCCGAACAGTTCTGTATAGCTGATGCTTAACAATTAGCTGGATGGCTAAACTTGGGTCTGAGGAGAGCTGTGACCATGGGCTAAACATTGCCACACCAAATGGACCCATGCATTGTCTCTTCCCACACGCACGCACGCACACACACTGGGACCACACATTAGCGATTCTCCCCGGGGCATCCCAGGCCAATGTCTTTTTAGCACTGATCATTTGCTGACAAGTTTGGATGCTGGGGCATGAGCTCATTGCTTTATAGCCAACATCTTTTTTGGCTCCTCTCACACTTGCTCGGCCTACACAGCTTCGAATAGCTCTCTAAGATGTGATGTCATCACTGGACTGTGTTGCAGTTTCTCTCACACCCCCACCCTTTCTCTTCATTGTAGTCAACTTCAACTTGTGTTTTATTGTTGTATGCCATAATATTAATTTTGAAAAACCTAGAATCATCAGTTTCACTGTACATTGGCAACATATTTCTTGTTGCTTGGACATTGTCACACAAAATACCTGCTTCATTTTATGTTGTTTTGATAAAATAGGTGCCTCAGAGTGATGCAGCATGGACAGAGCTGGTGAGTTGATGCTTATTCTCTCCTCATCTTCACTGACATACTATAGGTAGTTCAGATGAATGACGAGCTGGCTTGCTTTCTCTCCTTTTGCTCACCTACCTTTGTGCCCCAGTGCCTAATCACTGAATGGACTGAATTTTACATGCAATCCTTTGTAGCGGAAGTTGGGCTACCTGGTGGGAGGGTGGACTGAACAAAACAGCCTAAAACATAGCTTAGTTACATTACCTGCACATCAAAGCAAATAGCCTAGCACAAAATGGGTGATGACTCTTGCTTATACAGTGTTATACTGACATGCTTTGGTTTGAGCACAGTGCTCACGTTGTCTTTATTAATGGATTTCTCACCCCGAAGTACATCAGAGTTAAAATGTGCCAGAGTATCTGACAATGTATGAGACCTGTTCTAAAAGGTTTTCAGACAAGTGTAGTGGGTGACACTACGTCAGTGAATGTCGTCTTCTACTATGTGCTTCTCATACTCTACCCGAGGAATGCAATCAATGGGAGCTGTCAAGGAAGACTGGTGAGGGGTGCGTTCTTTTGTTACTTTATGGTTATTTACAGTGTTGTACCCAACCCCCTAGACATATTAAGCCGTTGCAAACCAGACTTGTCGGTTACTTTTAGCAGAACCATTTTCGTGTTGTTTTTGACTGTGTCACTCTCACAACCATTCGAGCCAACCTCACATGGGACAGTGCATCAGCAACAGCCACCACTTTTCACCTTAGATATACCTCTGATTAAAAACTCCTGTCGCTTCCTTGTAGAGAGGAATACAGGGTTTGAAGGGCATAGTGAAATTTCTTTTTGCAGTTTTTCTACCATGACCTGTACTTGATGGTGTGCCACACAAAGGAGGCTCACTAGCTGTTAGTCCTCAAGGATAGATGACACTCTCAAGAGACAATTTTACATTGTGACCTTTTAAGGTTGTGCTGTTGTGAGCAGTTTTCTGTGCACTTTACTGTACACTTTAAAGCTGTTATTGGTAATCTCAGACTTGATTGATTTGCATTTTTATGCTTTGCCCATGCCATCTGTCAGTGCAGTTTTTAATCTAGAAATGAGCACCACTGCGTTCTTCTCCCATACCACTGCGTCACAATACACCTGTGGCCTTTGAATGTTTAAGTAATCATTCATAACTGACAGTTGGCCTTGTAACGTTTCTGTCATTGAAAAATTCCTGTGTAATACCAGTATAGTGTCTAATAGTGATATTTAAAATAAATAATTACTTATATTTTAGACTGTAATGAAGATCAAGCCTTAAGAGTTGTTTGACAAATAACCTTTTTTTCAGTTTTGCTTTTGAAAGCCATCCTTTTAGCCTTGCGATTTTGTTGTGTAACAACTGTCAAACATCTCAAGCGGTGTGTACCTAGTGGTCCTGCTCTGCCCATGTAGAACCAGACACTGAGGGTTCAGGTGACTGATATAGAGAAAAAGGAGATGTCAGTGGCTAACTGGGGCATTTTCTCTACTGCCTAATTGCAACTCAGGATGGTTATATTGGAGTACGAGTCTCATGCTTTATACCCCCATCACCAAGCCTGTTTACCACCTAACTCATCTGAGACGCAGATGAAGTGCTGCTCCAGCAGTACACATGCGGTGTATTTATATGAGATGAGAGATGAGAGATGAGACAAAATTGGATTTTTTTTCTATCTGAATTATGGGTTAACTAGCTATGACTCCTTTAGCATCCCATCCTACTATCTTAATATTGTGAAACAGATATACAAATTGTGCATCTGTCCATGCTCTGTTGAAATGGCTATTTGAATAGATGACAGTTGCGTTAAGGGGGACTGAATATCGGCATGGGTAATGAAACAAATGCTTATCATTGCACTGGTTACTGCACATTAATCTTACAGCAGCATAATGGTGGCAAACCAAGGGTAAGCGCTGTTGTAAAAGAAGCATAGAGGGAAGTTGAATTTGATGGCTGGGTGATAGAAAAGATGCATTTTCACCTTGTGTTTGGACCTGGTTTCATTAGCCAGTGCTTTTATTTTTTTTGTAAATCACAGATTGCTCTTTTTACCTCCTCTTTTTTCCTTGTTGCCATTTTTAATTTCTGTAGTCTGTTCTCAGCAGCCTTCCTCCAAGCTGTCATCCTCTCTACCTCAAGATAAAATCAATTCCCAGACGATGTGCAGGAGCCTGCTCACCTGCACTGAATGCGCAGTTCAAAGCTCATGTGGGTAATTGCAGAATAAAAAACATAGCAAAGAATTTCCAGAGATAACACTCCAGCCTAGTGTGTTTTTGGATTTCCTGTCTTTTATTAGGAGACATTAGGATAATAGTTCTTTTGGCATATTAGTACTTCATGAAATGCCCCATTATCTTAGGGTGAGCATGTAGGATTACACTAACATGAGATTGTGTACTCTGGAACTGGCACACAAGTGTCATCTGAAAACTATAAATAGATAAATTCAACTTAGTGACAAATCTGACATTAGATTCCTTCAGGTCCTTATGTGTAAACGCGTCTTAATTGTCCTCTGTGCACAAACGCCAACAATAACAATCATTTAATAGCTTTATATGACACAAGTACTTCATGCAGAAAACAGTTAAATACAAGTTCAGCCCAGTAAGGGAGACAACTGTCTCAAACAAGTATACAATACTGTTTCTCTTTGGTGTTAACAGCATTAAATCCAGACTAATAGCTCTCACAATTTTTCTTTTAGTGCTTAAATTTTGTTCTTAACCGAGGCGCCCTACGTTGTCATTTAGCATAAAGGTTCTGACCGGCTGTGCCACATAGCTAGAGGGGCTACACCCAATGTAGACTGCCAGTTTGTGTCATGTAACCAAATCCACTGCTTTCAGATCGCAGAGAAGGAGCTATTGTTACTTTCACCAAGGGTGGGGGTAATGTTTTTGCCAGCATTTGTTTCTTTGTTAACATCATAACTTGATAGGTAATGAATGGATTGAATTCTTTTTAGAGGTAGAGTATGGAACACTTCATTAGTTTTTGGTGCTGATAATTTACAGATACAGGAAATTTTAAAAATGATTATTCACCTTTGTGAGTGCTGGAAAGGCTGCTGACTACTGTATGTGAGCCCTCTTGTGGCTATGCTGCTGAGCACTCCGAGCACATATGGAACCAAAGCCCTGGCTTAGTGACAGCTGCAGGACTGGTATTATGCCATTTTATAAAGTTTTGACATATTGTTCAGGTGACAAAGTAACCCCTTAGATTGAGAATATGTGGTCAGTCTATCCAAGTAATGCCAATTTAGAAATGTTTTCGGGGGTGTGAGTACCCCCTATTATCTGACTAAGCTAGCTCTATTAGTAGGCAGCTGCATCTGGTTCAGAGCATAGTTGTCTGTCGGCGAGGACGCCGGTGTTCCAGATGCGCACTGTAGCTGCGTTTCCACTGTCAGAACCTAAACAACAGTACACCCCATGCTTTGCTTAACTGTCACTCGACATAACCTCACGGGTTGATGCGAACTGTTCTACTTTGCTTTTCCACTGTCTTGGTCTCTGTTTAGAGGAGAGACGGGCTGTGTTCCTCTCACACACTCACAGCTGAGCAGAGGACATAAGGGATTACTCCATAGTTCAACAAACCTGGTAATGTGAACAGTTTATCAAACAGCTCTAAAACAAGGAGAACACAAATTTGCATCACTGTGACGTCTTCACCGCTTTGCCCGCGGTCCAATGCTGAAGTCTCCATTTTACCCCTAATCCAATGACTGAATATCTGTAATGTCTATTGTTTTTTTTTTTTTTGAATAACGTTTAAACTGATAATGATGTCAGCATCACTCCAAATGCCAGCAGTAGGTTTTTGTGGCCAAGCAATCATGTAACGAGGGTCAAACTATCATGGCAGTAGTGCTTTTATGGCATAATGGGGAAACTGAGTTTCCCCTTGGTGGAGGTTTGCACTCTCTGAGTGCTGTCTAGTTCTTATCTGCTTCCTGGGTCCTTACATTTTTGACTCCTCTCTCTCAAGCTATTACAGCTTGTGGTATTTAGTGAGCAGTCGTCTCAGTACAGCACACGAGTCTTAGTGTGCTTTTGTCTGAACAAGTTCCTGATGTTTCGCTCTTAATTTAGATTCATCATGCAACAGATTGCCAAGTGCCATTTAGGCTGATTTGCAAGGAAGGATGTCAGCACAACTCGCAGACAGAAATCTGCTCAAGTTTGTTTAATTCCTTTTTAGGTCCTCTTTTAGTGTGAATATTTGTGAAGGTCATGGTCTATTTACTATGAGTAAAAGGAGGTTCTTTTCTAAAACACTTCAGCCATGGAAGAAGGAATCTGTCATGCAGTTAAACAGGACTTATTGTCTTAGGTTGAGTGGATCTTGGATGAGATGAAAGCAGGGGTAGGTGGGGCTGGCAGTATTTTACAACCATGACTACTACGAAGGATTAGCTGTCGCTTTGATTGAAGCGGTAAGGGTCGTGATTAGAGAGCTGACTGCACTCTACCTTCTTTTTAATCTTCAAGCTTTTGATAAATCATATCTGATCAGAACACCCCCCCCACCCCAAGCAAACATGAACCCTCTTTTAGCTTGTAATTACGAAAGATTGAAGAGATATTGTTTGATAGATGTTGCTGGGAATTTCAGAGGTAAGAAAATGGTTCTGTTTTCAAGGATGAAGCACATCTTTTTTTTGCCCCCTCCTACTTTGCACACATACAAACACAAAATGCACTGATGTACAGCCCGTCCCAGAGAGCTGCTGATTCGTTCGCTGAGAGTCAGATTGTTCTTCATCACATCATAGGCCAGCTCCCTGACTCATCAGCATATGCTTGTAGCATCAGAATCCATTCCTCCAGCCTCTTCATAGCACTCCTCTCCTCTCACTCCCACACTGCTTCTTCCTCCTTTGTTTGCTTTCACTTTTTGCTATTGGCAACCCTTGTTCAGCTCATGATTATTGTTGCCTCTTTATTATCCCGTTAAATTTGTAAAAAAAAATGCTTGTA